ACACACCCACACCCACACACACACAAACACACACATATATATATATATATATATATATATATATATTGAGCTCACTTTTAATTGAGGTCTAGTCTCTTCCTTAGAAGCATATGATCTAGCCATGGGACTTTCTTGTTGATTACTTTTAGAAGACTAGTAAAGGATCCCTCACCAGTAGAAATTCTAAAACTCTTCTTTCCTCATATTGAAGTTCCACATGTTGGTTCTAACCTCTAGCACATAGTATGTGGAGTCAATATGGGGGAGCTCAAGAGGAGTCCCTCACCAGTAGAAATTCTAAAACTCATGTGGATGGTCCCCTAAACCAAGCTCGGTTTGGCTAAGACCAGCACATGGAGGCTCTAAAATGGGAGTTCCCTTGGTCTCATGGCTCAATAGGATGACCTCATGATTAACATTCTTAATTGATTCCAATTTTGCCAAATTCTCAAATTTGACCCTTCTTGGCCCCAACTTTCCCAAATTACCAAATTGCCTGTAAACCCTAACTTTTCCAAAAATTCCCAAAATTACCCAAATTATAAAAGTCTCTTAAAAAATCATCTCAAACTCTTTGAAACTACCCAAATTGCCCAAAAAAACACCCCAAAAATTCCAAAATCTCCAAAATACCCCAAAATTTCAAAAAATTCCCAAAATCCCCAAAATCAACTTGAACTACTCCATTGAGTCCAATTTGACCAAACTGACTCCTTTTGACCAAAATCCTCAAATTGCCTCTAATAGTATAAATTCCTCAATTCACCCCCAATTTCCACCAAATTGACTTCAATCTCAACCAATTTTAATTCTAAATCAAAATTAATCATATTCAATCCCAATTGAGACCAAATCCAAGTCCAATTAAATCCAATATCAAGCCTAATTCCAACCCCTAATCTCAAAATCCCAATTTTACCTAAAATTTAAAATCTCCCAAATTGAACTTCATAACTCGACAATTTCCACCCAAATGATATCTAAAACTCTTCATCACAATCTATTGGACCAATTTGAACGTTCAATTGACCCAAATACAAACCCTAGCCCAATCCAAACCCAAGTCTAGCCCAAATGCCCCAAAATTGACCATGAGCCAAATTCCACTAAATTGATCCCCAAATCAATTCAAAATCACCCAATTCCTTTCCAAACTTCTCATGGCAATCATCCACATCAAATTGATTAATCACTTGACCAAAGTGTTAGCCCAAATCCAACCTAGACCCCAGTCCAAACCAAATGCCCAATTTTGAACCCAAATCCCAAACTCGACTAAACTCAACCAAACTCGACCAAACTCATTCAAATTGACCAAATGATGGTTACCTGACCGACCTTTTTTTGTAAATCAATAATTACAAGAATTTGATGATGCTACTAGAAGATTTAAATTCCAGCAACGATGCCAAAAACTTGACAGCAACTTAATAAAATTCAAATTTGTCCACGCAAGTATACGTATCGCTTAAGTAATATAGGGCCCTAATGGAGTCTTAGATATCTATCCCACAAGGAGAAATAGAATACCACGGACTAAGATTTAATAAAAAGTAATACTTCAACTACAACGACGTTCAAGTTGTTTATCTGTCACTAATAGGCAATTGAAAACATCATTCTCCTTCCCAAGAAATTATAGTGAATGGATAAAATGAATAAGTTCAATTTATATTGTGCCAAATAGGAGCATACATATTTTTTACCCTTTGGTCCAGGCATAAAGAATATTGACTAATCCTATGCTTGGTTACTGATTCTGCGGTTAGGCTGGGAAGATACCGGCTCTCAATTTGGAGCTCCCACGTTCCCCTCACCCGAGGGCTAACATCTACACATCAGCACCCAAACGATAGGACTGAATTGGGGATTTTAGTATGTCACTCTAAAATCTCCAATTCTACGCCCGATAATAATATTTCCCTATTTATTTGCACCCAACTTCCAAGGGCTTT